TGGGGAGGAAGTCACGGACCTCCAAATCGTGGTCCTATCATGTACATACCAAATGGTTCGTTGAGTGGTGYTGGGGGGATGAGTCCGAGCCGACAAAACCTCCGTGCGGTCCTGTTATATTCCTTGAAGACAAAAAAAGGCATAGAGTGCTTCGGGCGGTTTTCGGATGGCATCCTACGAAAAAGGAGAACACGCAACATTATAAGGTGCACCCTGTTTACAGTTCGAAGGGCGACGTTGTTGCCAATTCCAAAGGGGCGGTTTTGTCTTTCRACCTGTTCMAGGGGTTTGGTGCGAGGGCTGTGAAGACCCCTTTCTACCAAGATCTCGCAGTGGGAGGTGTTGTTTCGGCACGGGAATTTTTTGACCTGGTGGAGCAGAGGAACATCGACCTGGAGGAACCCTGCCACGTTCAAGGCAACAAACAGCTGTCGTAGCCTCTTCTGATATGCACCGGGCTCGATTCCAGCGGTGCTCCCATGAAAGGGGGAGATTTGGGTTCCSGTCCTTCATCCCAACTCCACCGGGGTGAGGCCCATGGTCGCTTTGACGACAGCGACGACGAAGATCTAGAGCAGACGYGGGCTTCGCTGCTTAGGGGGGAAGACCGGTCAATCCTCAGTATTCCTGGGGTGGAAGGACACACCCCGGTTCACGACCGGCCGTCGACGTCAGCTGGGGGGGGGCGAGGAGGGTGAACAGCAGCCTGMGCATAAGAGAAGTGGAGGTCCTTAGGAAGAGGCTGTGGGTTCTGCAAAGAAACATAAGGCAAGGACTGCCCAGACGACGGGGGGAAAAAGGAAAAGAGTTGAGGGGCAAGAGGGCACATCAAGTGGGAAACGCCCGACGTCTGCGTAGAAACAACCTCGATTGGGTGTTGTCGAGTCGAAGGGTCCCATCGACATCGACGTCATGTACTTCCTAGAATGGAAACACGGCGTGCGGAGAAAGCGGGAATTCTTCATTAGCCAGAGTTGGAAAATTTGGTCACGTAGATCTTGTATTTTGCCTAAATTTGTCGGTTACTATGCACAAGTTTATAACGGAAAATATTTTGTTGGTTTAAAGATTACTGAAGATATGGTTGGTCATAAATTTGGAGAATTTGCTTCTACACGTAAAACTTCGAAAACAAAAACGAAACAAAAAAAGACAAACAAATAATGACACAAAAAGTCAATCCAATCTTTGCGGTTCGTCGACATTGGTGAGTGATAAGCCTCGTACAACCAGCGGTCGCTGTATCCCGTGCACACGCAACTCATCATTGATGCGATGAGGATGACCTTCTCGYAGGCGGAGAAGACGTACGAGCTGCCTACCCTTACGCTGGCGCCACTCCGGCTGGAGAAACCGGAGTCGGGTGTACGGGCCGATCGTTTGAAGCCAGAGGATTGGAAGGACGAGCCGGCAGGCCAATACTATTGTTACGTTGTTTCCGGTCAGCACAACGCGGCTGCAGCCAAGGCATTGTTCAGTAGTAACGTCAGGTTGAGGTACAACTTCGAGAGGTGGCCTGCAGGTATGGTTTACTTCTCGGACGAGGAGTTCGAAGGGTATTTCCTTGTCAGCTCGAAGGACAACAAGGACTTGAAGGCGCCTCCGAGACAACTTAAACTGTCAATGAAGAACATTCGGTGGTTGTGTAAGGAAAAGGGTTTTYCAAAAGCTGTTATGGGGAAACCGAGCGGGAAACAAGCTCAGGCTATGTTGCACGCCCGGCCGCGGCCGGGGCGGGGAAATCGGCCGCGGCCTCGACCGATGGCCGAATCGGCCAGGTTCGGCCACGGCCGATTAGCCGAGTTTGGTGACAGATTTGTTTTTTCTAACGCATAAAAATATATATATATCTATGTATATATATGGGCGTGTAGGGATAAAAAAACCCTACACGGCTATTTTTTTGGGGGGCATTGTTGT